TAAGTGTACAAGCTGAAAATCTCAATTTATTTCAAGAAATGAGTTATTTTATGGTTTTGAGAAATAGATATGTGTTAAAGAAATTTTTAAAGCGATTTTTTTGAAGAAATTTACTTTTTCATAAGCTATTTTGATACAGAAATAGAATTCTTTGTATTCTATGGGGTGAAACAACTTAAAACTCATTAAACAGCGTAGTTATTGTGAGTAATATTCAACCTCGTAAGTATTTCAGCTTCCAGTTTATAACTATTACAGTCGTATAAGCATCATAAATGCAATTAAATGACTATATAATAGAAAGAGCTATAGAAACTAATTAAAAACGAATAAATATTCATATTATTCTTAAAAAGCGAATAAATTAATTACTATAGATGTAAGAATATAAATTATGCCTAAAATATCTGTATGTCTTCATTAAGAAATTCAAATGAGGTCGTTTTAAGGATCATTATAATTGTTACGAGAAACAATTTTTGTTGTTAATATTACTCTATCAAAATAAATCAACTTAGTTAAATATTTTAAAATATGGCGAAGATTTTGAAATACACATTTTAGTTTCTGTAAAAAAAAATTAGACAGGAAAAAAAACTAAAAATATTCTGCCAAAAAACTGAAATATATCTATTTTAGATATATCTCAGACAAGTAATTTATTTTATGAAAATAGTACTAGAAATTAGAATAAATAATAGATAGTTGTTATAGAAACAATTGAAACAATTTTGAATTATTGAAATAATGAGGTTTTGTTTGATTTTCGAGAATTTTTTTCCTTTCTTTATTTTACTTTAATATCGAAGCTTTACTATAATAAATCAAAAATGTCTATTGATATTATAATACTTTTTAGATTAATATGCTTCAATGAAAAAAGGTTAATAATTTAAAATATCATAATAAATGTATCAGATTAAAAATTAAATTAGCTTTCTTATGAATCCATTTTAATGTACAATAGATTTCAGGGTAAATCCTCGCCAGAAAAGGTCGAATTTACCATAGTGGCGTGGTAAAAGTCTGAAGTATGCTTCAATATGATTCAATTTCGGACTTTTACCAAGTCCTTGCATTAATACTTAGGAGTTTTAACTATTGCAAAAATTATTTTTGAAAATTATTGAAATTACTTCAGTTTTATCGAGAGAATTAACTGTGCATTAGTTCCTTTTTTTACACAGGATCTTATTTGTAAACAGACATAAATATTGCATTTTTTGTCAAAATTTCTTTTAAGTCTTTAAAAAATAATTCGAAGATAGTTTCATCGACGTAATCACTTTAAAAATTTAAATTTTCAAATAAAAAAATTAAATTGTGTTTAAACCTACTTGAGACACACTCTAGACAATATATGATGCTTTTCCGATGCGTATGCTTTGAGGCCATTTGCAATGGTTAAAGATTTTTCGCCAAGTTAAACAACAAACATAATAATCAATCAACAATAATCGATGTTTATTATATTAAATAATTTGATTAATTAAAGGATTTGAGTGTCATTTCCTGGTTTATCATCACACTTTACCTACGGGTATTGTATACAATGCCAGAACTTTGTATATTGCCGGAAAAATGTACATAATTTCGCCCATATTTAAAATTCTATGTACAACAAGTCAACGTTTTTAAGGAATTATTCGCGTAACACATTTTATTCAAATTTTAGCATTTTTCTTTAACTTAAAACTATGCAAATATTTGTAAAAGTATGATCAAATAACAGGTATAGCAGGTAGAGCAAAGTATGATCAAATAGCAGGTACATACATCATATATCCAGCACCTTTGATTTTATCATTTAATTCAAGCCTATTATTTTTCCTTAGCTACAGTTACATGTCGTTGTTTGTACAATTTTTCTTGAAATCTCCGAAATGCATGATGAAGATATTTAACTCAATTTAGAAAGAAAATTTAAAATCCATCCCTAATCTATCATTTGAAATAATACCGAAAAGAAAGCAAAATGTTTGCTTGAGAAATGAATTTCTTTAAAGGTTTACTCATAAAAGCAGGTCAGAGAAAGAAAATAAATGATGGGTGATTAAATCTCACAAACAATTCCTACAAAGTTTTCTCGAATGAAAGCTTTCGAAGGTCAACATGGATCAAATCTCTGGAAAATTACAAAAGGAAAACCATTAAGGAAAGAGATTGGGAGGGAAATTGAATTGATGAGATCCCTCCAATTTTATGTATCTGCCAATTTAATCGATTTGTTCGAAACTTTATTTTAACATAAAATTAACTTTAATATATATAATTTAATTAAAATACCATTTGGTTATATATATCTTGTTTTAATAAATTTGATATTTTTA